TGAAAAGTAAAAAAGAAATTAGAAGACATGGATAAAAAATCCAGGAGAGGTAATATGCATCTAATCAAACATGTAATAGAAAATTTCCAATAGGTGATAAAAGAAAAAGAATCTTAAAATTGAAAGGCCAGTTGATAGTGGTATCCAGGAGGAAGGAGTGGTTTTTCACCCAGATATATCCTGGTGACATTTCTGAATTCTATAGCTTACGAGAAAATCCTGAACTCTTCCAGGGAAGAACAAGCTATGTGCGAAGAAATAAGAATCTTACTACACTAAAGACAATACTTTTGATCATTGTCTATAGCTATGTGTATTTCAAACCTAGAATTCTGTACTCACCCAAACTATCATTTATGTATGAGAACAAAATTAATTTGCAGACTCATTCTTTTTGAAAAAAATACTGTGGGGATATACCAAAACAAACAAACAAAAAAGTCTAGAAGCAACAACTGAAGGCATAAGAAACAGCAAGAAAAAAAAATTTTCATATTGGATACATTTATCCTGAAAGATCTCTGAGGCAGTACAGCTGTAATGTTAAAAGTAATATTAATAATGCAACAATCTGGGCTGGGCACAGTGGCTCACACCTATAATCCCAGCACATTGGGTGGCCGAGGTATGTGCATCACTTGAGGCCAGGAGTTCAAGACCACCCTGGCCAACGTGGCAAAACCCTGTCTCTACTAAAAATACAAAATTTAGCCAGGCATGATGGGACATACCTGTAATCCCAGCTACTCAGGAGGCCAAGGCAGGAGAATCACTTGAACTCAGGAGACGGAAGTGACAGTGACCTGACTGAGATTGTACCACTGTATTCCAAACTGGATGACAGAGGGAGACTGTCTCAAAATAATAATAATATAACAGTCTGGATTCTGGGTCATTTTAACAGAAGGTGGTGAGGGTAGGAAATGAAGGGGAAAAGGCAAAATGTCCAAGATTATTTTCTTTTTAAAAAAATTTTTTAGAGATGAGGTCTCACTCTGTTGCCCAGGCTGGCATGCAGTGGCACAGTTGTGGCTTACTGCAGTCTCAAACTCCTGCCCTTGAGCCATCCTCCCACCTCAGCCACTGGAGTGGCTGGGACTGCAGGTGCAAACCCAGCTAACTTTTTTTATCCTTTTAGAGATGGGGTCTTGCTATGTTGCTCAAGCTGGTCTTGAACTCGAGGGCTTAAGAGATCTGCCTGCTTCAGCCTCCCAAGTAGTTCAGAATACAAGTGTGTACTACCACAACCAGTTGTCTCAATTTCTTGTTCCAGGGGAGACTATGCTAATTAATTCTTTTTTTTTTTTTTTTTTAATTTAAGACTCGGGGGACATGTGCCAGTTTGTTACATATTATCTGTGATGGTGAGGTTTGGGCTTCTATTGAACCCATCACCAGGTGGTGAACATAGTACCCAGCAAGTAGTTTTCCAGCCCTTGTACCCCTCCATCCTTTTTTGCTTTTAGAATCCCCAGTGTTTCTTGTCTCCATCTTTATGTCTGTGTGTACTCAGGGTTTAGTTCCTACTTAAAAGTGAGAACGTGGAGTATTTGGTTTTCTGTTTCTGTGTTAATTCACTTAGGATACTGGCCTCCAGCTGCATCTATGTTGCTGCAGAGGAATATCCTTTCATTCTTTTTTATGGCTGCATAGTATTTCGTGATGTATATGTACCACATTTTTTTTTTTTCTTTCCAAATTTGTCCAGCTATTCTTTATTTTGGAGAAAGGGCAGGGCAGAGTGCTCAGTCCTTCTTGGCAGCAGCTGTCGTCATGGTGGCTAGGACATTGCTCAGCTCCTCTCACTTCCTCTTGGTGCATATGTGCCTCTCCACCCTTGTCTTGATGAACTTGAGGGCCCATTGGTCCTTGGAGACCTTCATTAACTCCATGGCACGCCGCTGGTATGGGGCGAAGCCACACCTCCCAGATCATGTCCCACACGAACTTGGTGTATTTATTTGGTCAGGTGCCCGCAGTGGTGGCTGTGCCTGGGCTTGCTTATGTTCTTGATCACCTTGTGGCCCTTGTTGAGGCCCATGGCCTTAGGGTAGCACAGAGCCATTGCTGCTGCTCTCCAGCGGCAGCCATGGCGGAAGGAACCCCACATTTTCTTTATCCAGTCCACCATTGATGGTTACCTCGGTTGATTCCGTGTCTTTGCTACTAAGAATGTAACTGTGCTTAAGAATAAATGCTGTGCTGGGCATGGTTGCTCATGCCTTTAATCCCAGCACTTTGGGAGGCCAAGGTGGGAAGATCACTTGAGCCCAGGAATTTGAGACCAAAGTGGGCAACATAGTGAGACCCCCATTTCTACAGGAAAAAAAAAAAAAAGCCAGGCATGGTGGTGCATGCCTATAGTGCCAGTTACTCAGGAGGCTGAAGTGGGAGAGTCACTTGAGTCCAGGATCACTTGAGTCATATTTAAACCACTGCACTCTAACCTGGACAAGAAAGCGAGACCCTGTCTCAAAACAAAACAGGCTGGGCATGGTGGCTCACAGCTGTAATCGTAGCACTTTGGGAGGCCAAGGTGGGTGGATCATTTGAGGTTAAGAGTTCAAGACCGGCATGGCCAGCATGGTAAAACCCTGCCTCTACTAAAAATAGAAAATTTAGCCAGGCATGGCGGCGGATGCCTGTAGTCCAAGCTACTTGGGAGGCTGAGGCAGGAGAATTGCTTGAACCCAGGAGGTGGAGGTTGTAGTGAGCTGAGATTGCGCCACTGTACTCCAGCCTGGGTAACAGAGCAAGACTGTCTCAAAACAAACAAGCAAACAATGCTGCAGTAAACATGCCAGTGCAAATCATTCTTTTTTATAGAATGATTCCTTTTCCTTTGGTTGTATACCCAGTAATGGGATTGCTGGGTCAAATGGTAGTTTGATTTTTAGTTCTTTGAGAAATCTCCAGACTGCTTTCCACAGGAGCTGAAATTTCCAAACTAATTTCTATTCTTATCAACAGTGTTTAAGCATACCCTTTTCTCTACAACCTTGCCAACATTGTAATTTTTTGACTTTTTAATAATAGTCATTCTGACTCAGGTGTGAGATGATAATCTCATTGTGGTTTTGATTTGCATTTCTCTGATGCTGAGTGATGTTGAGCATTTTTTCATGTTCGTTGGCTGCTTGTTCATGTCCTTTGCCTACTTTTTAATGGGGCTGTTTGGTTTTTCCTTGTTGATTTGCTTAAGTTGTTTATAGATTCTGGATATTAGTTCTTTGTCAGATACATAATTTGCAAATGTTTTCTCCCATTCTGTAGGTTGTCTGTCGGCTTCGTTGATAGTTTCTTTTGCTGTGCTGAAGCTTAAATTAGGTCTCAACTATCCGTTTTTCTTTTTGTTGCATTTGCTTTTGGGGACTTAGTCATAAATTGTTTGCCTAGGTAATATCCAGAAGAATATTTTCTAGGTTTTCTTCTATGATTTATATAGTTTGAGGCCCCACATTTAAGTCTTTAATCCATCTTGAGTTAGTTTCTATATATGGTGAGAGGTAGAGGTCTAGTTTCCTATTTGGATGCCTTTTATTTCTTTCTCTTGCCTGATTGCTCTGCCTTGGACTTGCCACATACTGATTGCTGTGGCTCAGTATTATGCCAAATAGAAGTGTAAGAGTGGACATCCTTTTCTTGTTCCAGTTCTTAAGAGGAATACTTACAACTTCTGCCCATTCAGTATAATATTGATATCTGGGTGCAGTGGTTCACACCTGTAATCCCAGACTTCGGAAGGCCAAGGCAGGAGGATTGCTTGAGCCTAGGAGTTCAAGACCAGCCTGGGCAACATGCTGAAACCTTGTCTCTACAAAAAAAAAAAAAAAATTAGCCGCACATAGTGGCATGCACCTGTAGTGCCAACTTACTTAGAGGTTGATGGCAGGAGGATCACTTGAGCCTGGGTAATGGAGACTTCAGTGAGTTATGGTTGTACCACTGTACTCCAGCCTGGGCAATGGAACAAGACCATGTCTCAAAAAAAAAAAAAAAAAGATATTGTCATAGGTGGTTATTATTTTGAAATATGTTCCTTTGATGCTTAGTTTATTGAGGGTTTTTTAATAAAGGGATGTTGGAGTTTATTGAATGCTTTATGCTGATTAATTCTGAACATTGATGAAGATATGTATACCTTTAAATGATCAAGCTTTAATGGAAAGTACTAGTAAGAATAGCATGTAGAACTTCCAAACTACCCCATGTGGAGTAGGGAAGTAGAGGAACAAGGAAAACTTCACCAGTTGAGCAAAAATGATTTTAGAAAACCTAATATGAGAATAAAACCACCCATCAGTGATTACAAAAAATATGAATGGGATAAAGTCACCTATTAAGGGGAAAAGTTCTCATAAGGTGAGATCAGTATCTAGCTATGTGTTCTTTATAAATGAAACACCAAAATCAAAAAGGTACCAAAACTTCAGAATAGAAGCAAGATTCCGTATCTGCCCATATTGAGATCTGATAGAGCTGTGAGACTTTATATTTTTGTTTTTCATATGCTTTTAAAGTATTTATGAATGCCCTGGGAAATAAGTCCAGGAATAGAGAGCAAATTCTTAAAACCATTTTATTATATGTTTTCACAAAATAATGTAATATGGTACTTGGTCTAAAGTGGCCACTGTTTATTCTTTCAAATATTTTGGATTTATATAGTTTGTTTCTTCTAAAAAGGTATCTTCAAGTCTTCAGGTAGAATAAAATCATAATAGAAAATAAGTCTTTTTGGCCAGCCATGGTGGCTCATGCTTGTAATCCCAACACTTTGGGAGGCCAAGGTGGGAGGATTGCTTGAGGCCAGGAGTATGAGACTAGCCTGGCAACATGGTGAGAGCCATCTTTAACAATAACAACAAAATAGCCAGGTGTGCGCCTATAGTCCCCACTACTAGGGAGGCTGAGGCAGGAGAATAACTTGAGTCAGGGAGTGTGAGGCTGTAGTGAGCCATGATCACACCAGTGCACTCCAGGCTGGGCAACAGAGTGAGACCCTCAACTCAAAAAAAAAATGCTGGGCACGGTGGCTCACGCCTGTAATCCCAACACTTTGGGAGGCCACGGCAGGAGGATCACTTGAGGTCAGGAGTTAAAGGGCAGCCTGGCCAACATAGCAAAACTCGTCTCTACTGAAAACACAAAAATTAACTGGTCGTGGTTAATGCAGGTGCATACCTGTAGGCCCAGCTACCCGGGAGACTGAGGCACGGGAATCACTTGAACACAGGAGGTGAAGGTTGCAGTAAGTGGAGGTTGCAGTAAGCCGAGATCGCACCACCGCACTCCAGCCTAGGCAACATAGCAAGACTGTCTCAAAAAAAGAAAGAAAATAGTCATTTGTTGTTGTTTTTGTTGTTACAAAAAAAAAAAGAAAAATCCAGCCAATTGGTCACTTACTTTAGAATAGTATTAAAAAACAAAGGTTCCATAGCAATACAGAATTTGTATAGCTTCCTAGAATGTATTAAAATAGGAATACTAATAGATTCAAAAAGGAAAATTTGTATAAATTAGTAAAAATTGCCACCCTGTCCTTAATGCCCTATTTTAAGATTAGCTATTAAATAAATATTTACTTGCTGGCCCTGAACTCTGTGCTGGGTACTGTGAGACACAAAAGAAGTACAAGATACTGCCTTTGCCTACTAAGAATTTTATTCATACTTTGACAGCTTTCTGTGTTGAGCCATTAAATGTTTTCTTAGAAATCTAAAACATGTTTAATCTTGTATAATTTACCACTAGATGCAGGAAAATAATTATAGCTAACATTCATTTAGTCCATCTCTGTATATCCACTTAACAAATGTTTCACAGAATAGACACCCCAACATATGAATGAATGAATATCAGGTGCTAGATTAAAAGCTCTAATTCAGTATCTCATTTAATCCTCTCAATAATTATTATTTAGCTAGTATGTTATCCACATTCTGTCAGTGAAGAAACTGAGCTTCTCGCCTAAAACCATAATTGAAGTGGCAGAACAGGACTGGAATCCAAGTCTAACTCAAGTGCTATAGTAGTGTGAAGGGAAGAGTGGTGAGGGTTGGTGTTCGTGGAGAATTTGTTGCTGGGTGTATGCTTCTTCTTTAGACTAAGGAAAAGAAATCATTTGCATAAATGTTATTCAGTTCCAGGAGCCAGGTTCCATGCCTGTTAACATCTGTCCATCAGTTCTGTAAGCAGTCTCACAGTGGTGTGTGTTCACTCTAAATAGTACAACACAATGCAGAAGAGGAAGGGGGACAGTTTGGGGGAAATCTGACAACCATGCATGAATATGTTTCTTTTGTTCTTCTGCTTTTAGAAAGCCATCTCTGCTTGCCTTTCAGGGGGTTATTAAGATCCTACTCTCTTAGATACTATGCTGTATTAGGCAGGAGACACAGGCAGAGAGAAGCCCATTTGGCATGAATTAGGCAACAAAGAAAACCCTTACCCAGTGGGAGTAACCTATCACAACCTAGTTTTCTCTGGCCAGATAACCAGTCTTGTCTAGTAGTAATGCCATTACAACATTCCCATTCAGATCCCCATGACCCAGTCATTGTTTTGAGAATGAGTGCAAAGCGATCAGACACCAACTACTATAATTAGAAAAGGGAAAAATAGACACTTACCAGAGCTAACGTCTTTAGGCTGGAGCATTTACAGCACCTTTTTTTTTCTTTTAAGTTATGGAGGCTTTCTCAGTTTTGCTTCCTAAAATACAAATTGCATGGTTTAGGGGTTCTTGCATTTCATTTTTGTTACTGCTATGCACTCTCTTTCCTTTCTCCCCCTCCTATTTTAATCGAAGTACAAATTGCTGTCAGCACATCCAGTTCATGTGCCAGCCACATTCAGAACAGGGTGTTCTGTGCTCTTCAAAACAAAATTGCTCTAGGGCAGTAAGAGAACAATAAGTCAGAGCTCCAGTTTAAGTGATGTTTTGCAGCTTGCTTGATGTGGTTACACTCCGATTGCGCAGCTAAGCTTGGGTAATTTGGTTTGGTTTGACTTTGTGGGGATTTGGAGGACCTCCCTCCCCCTTTAAGTTGCATAGTCCTTAAGTCAAGAAAAAAAATGTCTCTTTTTAACTTGTTTATTTCTTTCTCTACCAAAAAAGCCCTAAGTAGAAGCATCCTGTATGTACTTTTATTCTCTTTGGGCACGTCATAGATGATTTACTTCCCGTAAATTATGCTTGTTGGGATTAGCAACAGACCTCCTGAGCCCTAGAGGCTGCACTCCCAGTGAGTCATGATGGTTATTATTAAATATTTATTAAGTTAGTATTTTACTAAAAGATGCCAGGTCAAAAAACAACCACAGGTCTTCCACAGCCAGAGCTGCCATGGTTTTTGTTTTGTTTTTGGTTTGGGTTTTTTGGTAGCAGTTTTTAAACTAATATTAAAAAGAGTAAGTGGAGCTATAGGAGCTGTGCACATCTGCATCTGTTACCACAAGTGGGGCCCCTACTGTGGCAATCAGCAGTCTTTCCATGGCTCCAAGTGGTGTATGAGTTCTTGTCAGCAGTCTTGTAGACCTTGTCATATCAGTGTTCCAAGTTTAGAAACCAGTTAACCCAGCAATACCATTTGCTGCTTGTAGATGTAGAGAATCGATGGACTATATTCACCGTGAGGCTGATACCTCCTTTTACTCTGACATTCCAAATATTGTCAATATTACAAGGTGATGGTTTCTTATATACATATAAACTGGGGTGTATGTGTCTGGATACATACCCATTTAAAATTTTATAATGCTGCAGGGTCCAGTTTTGAGGGATTAGATTTATCAGGAAAAAAGATTGGTCCACATGTAAAGTAGAAAATACTTATAAGATCTATCACAAGTTTTTACTGTCCTATTACAGCATTAGACCCTAGTTCTGTCATTTATTGTCTCTCCAAGAGAGACTAGCTACAGTGAATATTTTGCTTTCTTAATCATGCCTTTGTTATAGTTTGATGTTGTTTTGGCCTGGTTACTTCATTTATCTACCCCAAAGTGTTTATTAGTAGCCACTGTTTTTTCCCCCTAATGATGGGTTATCACATCTAAAGGGAACTTCTGGAATTACTTATGTAATTTTAATATCAAATACATACATCAAGCTGAAAACCCTGCCTAGGAAACTAACACACAGGCAGGAATCCTTGCAGAGTCTCTGGATTTCCTGTTTTGAAAACACATTCAAACTTGATCAACCGAAAGCCACAACAAATGTACTGATAATTTCCTCCCCCACTAAATGTACTCTCCTTTAAGGGAGGAAGATGATACTTCCAACAGTAAACTTCAGACAAAAAAAATTGTTAACTAAGTTGTAAGCTACTACGACAATAAATCTCTATACTTGAGACATTCCACAATACATGAGCTGAAATTTACTTTGCTCAGCAAATCTTCTTTTATAAAAGTGTTGCCGGATATGGTGGCTCATGCCTGTAATCCCAGCACTTTGCAAGGCCATGGCAGGTGGATCACCTGAGGTCAGGAGTTCAAGACCAGCCTGACCAACGTGGTGAAACCCTGTTTCTACTAAAAATACAGAATTAGCCAGGTGTGGTGGCAGTGTTTGTTTGTAATCCCAGCTACTCAGAAGGCTGAGACAGAATTGCTTGAACCTGGGAGGCGGAGGTTGCAGTAAACTGAGATTGTGCCATTGCACTCCAGCCTGGGCAACAAAAGTAAAACTCCTTCTCAAAAAAAAAAAAGCAAGAAAAGTGTTATCGTTAGTCTAAATTTCATTGGCAGATTTTTAAATATTTAGGAATGTAAACTTTTTAGAACTCTTAATCTCCTTAGAAACATCAATTTTTACTCCAGTAAAAATATCTTTTTTTTGTGGGGGTACAGAGACTCACTCTGTCACCCAGGCTAGATTACAGTGGCGCAATAACTCACTGCAGCCTCGAACTTCCAGGTTCAAGCAATCCTCCCACCTCAGCCTCCCAAGTAGCTGGGACTTAATATAGGTGTGTGCCACCACCCTTAGAGAATTCAGTAAAAATATCTTAAGCATCAGACTCCCTGTAGATCCTCTCTAGTCTGCATGTACACTCATGTGCTATATATAACATTTTGTTTAACAGCAGATTCCACATAGGACTGTGGTCCCATAAGATTATAATTCCATATTTTTACTCTACTTTCTCAATGTTTAGATACACAAATACTATTGTGTTACAGTTGCCTACCGTATTCAGTACAGTAACATGCTATACAGATTTATAGCCTAGGAGCAATATGCTATACCATCTTGATTTGTCTAAGTATATTCTAAAATGTTCCCAAAATGAGATCACCTAATAACACATCTCTCAGAATGTATCCCTATCCTTAAGTGAAGTACGACTATATTTGAAAATTTTAAAGTTGAATTGTTTTTAAAATGTTTTCCAATTCAGAAGAACTGTCAATTTCCCACAAGTTAATTTTTATTTTATGTAGAGCATTCTAAAAGTAAATATAACAGAAGGAATTATCAGCATCTGTGAGTGTAGGACATAAACTAAAATGCATATACTATCTCTACCCAGCCAGTCCAGTTCTGCCCAGCCAGTCCAGCGCTAGCCCTAGTTTGGAGGAGCCGACTCGAGAGTTAGGCCCTTTCTAGTTTGGCCCAAGTTTCCTAGACCCCGTTCTGTGTCTGCAAGGGGAATACATCAAGATGATATTAATACTGGTGAGCTAAAAAAGGGTAGGGTGGACTGGGCTTGGTGGCTCATGCCTGTAATCCCAGCACTTTGAGAGGCTGAGGCAGGTGGATCACCTGAGGTCAGGAGTTCAAAACCAGCCTGACCAACATGATGAAACCTCATCTCAACTACAAATACAAAAATTAGCCAGGTGTGGTAGTGCGTGCCTATAGTCCCAGCTACTCAGGAGGCTGAGGCAGGAGAATCACTTGAACCTGGGAAGTGGAGGTTACAGTGAGTCAAGATCATGCCACTGTACTCCAGCCTGGGCCACAGACAGAGCAAGACTCTGTCTCAAAAAAAAGGTGGGGGCAGTACTCATTTTGGCAGTACAATTGGAACAATACAGAGAAGATTTAGCAAATCAGAAGAAAAAAGAGAGGAAAAGGGTAGAAAGTTTTAGAGCATACATGTTCAGGGAACATTTTGGCTCCTAGTGTCTACACCATTCATGTTCATTCTTCAGTTTCTCTCATTTCTCAGACCTGGGCTAGAGGTAATTCAATTAAATGATTAATTGCAGAAATTAGATTTGAAGCTGGTTTCTGGGCTCTGTTGATATTGAGAGTGATATTATCATGTCATTGAATCATAGAATTTCAGAGCTTCATTGAGATCAAAAGCAGAACAAGTTAGAACTGAATTTTTGTTTGAAGATAATAGTTGTCTTATTGGGCATGGAATGAGTATTACAGAATGAGTGATTTTTAGTTTCTCCACAAGTTATTGATCTAAAGTAGATCAGTCAGAAAAGAAGCATTTTAGGAAATCTCTAGATGTGAATAGAGGCCATATATTACATAAGTAGAAATAAAGGGTGCGTGTGTGTGTGTGTGACGGAGTCTCCCTCTGTATCCCAAGCTGGAGGGAGCCTGGAGTGCAGTGGCATGATCTTGGCTCACTGCAACCTCCACCTCCCAGGTTCAAAGGATTCTTGTGCCTCAGCCTCCCAAGTAGCTAGGATTACAGACATGAGCCACTGCGCCCAGTCAGGATTTTCTTATGAAATCCAAATTATTATATTGCTTGGTCACTTATGCTGTCATACCAGCCATCCATTTTTCTTTTTGCATCAAAAACCTAAATGGAAAGAATAAATACCCTTAATACTAAAAGTAGTTGTAAAGTTTCAGAGAATTGTTTTTCCTAGAAATGTAAGAGTCTAGGCCAGACGTGGTGGTCATGCCTGTAATAAACCTGTTTCTGGTTTGTTACCTACTAGACTGATACAAATATCAGTAATTACAAGTTTAACTTGGAAAGAAATATGGTTGCTCCTAAACTTTCAGACTGGGTAGATGAAGCTTCACCAAGACATACTGCGTGTGTTTCTTTATGAAATGAGAAAGGGGAAATGGTATTTGCTACACTGTTGGCCACTCATTTTTATCACATCACTGAATTAGCCAGTCCTAAGAAGCACCTCTGTTGACTTTGCTGTCTCCTTACCCTCAGTCCACCTGGAAGGCCGCTGTGGTGGAAGGGTGTTTGACTGCAGAGATGTGGCATTCACTGTGGGTGAAGGAGAAGACCACGACATTCCAATTGGAATTGACAAAGCTCTGGAGAAAATGCAGCGGGAAGAACAATGTATTTTACATCTTGGACCACGGTAAGCAGCGTACCAGTTTGGAACACAGTGGAGTCACCTAAAGGACAGGGATATGCTTTTTCATTCAACGTTTTGGCATTTTCAGTGAAGTTGATCCAACAGCGGAAACAATTAAATCAGGCTGCAGTTAGTCATCACATAAATTAATGGGCCTTACACTATCACAGAGGTTTGTGAGCATGTTTACTTGATTGATATGGGTTCAGAAAAGGACTTACAGGCACTTTTTGCTTTTATGATGATTTGTTTTGCCTGCAGTATTGCCAAGACAGGCAGCTATGGACCCTTCTCATATGTGGTTCTCTCACCCCCTCTTCCCTTTTTTCTAAATTAGGCAGGAGGCAGGAAAACATGGGGGTTGGGAATCAGAGAAGCATTTGGACGATTTACTACCACTTGAACTTGTGCCACTTGTTCTAATACAGAGGCCCTGAAAAAAGAAAAGCACATTCTTCCTGGATATAAAGGCAATGGAGATGACTCATTTTTTGCCTAAATTTTTCCCATCATAAGGATATCCACTAGCACTTCCAAGCTTAGAACTATCAGACACTGACAGTCTCTCTTGTGAAAACATGTTGAGTATTATTTTTAGATCTAAAATTATACCATGAATCCAACCCTTCTGTCTTGAGAAACAGAGCCTTGAGAGAA